TCTTATTATATATATATATATATATATATATATATATATATATATATGTGTGTGTGTGTATGTTATTTTATTTTATTGTTTGCAATGCATAAAATTCCCAAGTCTCACACAACTCAAATGATCAATACCACTTGTTTGTCAAAGTAATCTTCACAACAAAAAAAACCCTTAAACTCATTTAGCCTTTTTGCAACTTCACTGACAAATGAATTACTGTCCACTTGTTACACAACACAAGAGGAAATATGTCGATCGCAATGTATCATACTCCTCCTCATACCAGTCTTCATATCAACTTTCCATGCCTTGGTGTGGTAGGGCAGGGAGGAGGTAGAGGCGTATGAAAGTGTGCTCTCGTGTTATGGGATCAGTGGGTGAGTTCTCTGCGCATGTACTGGACTTTTTCAAAAAGGTGAAGGTCACGCTGGTAAACTCAGCGCAGTTCACAGCTCAGCCGTGCAAAGGCTGCACTTACACTCAGTGTGTTTGCTCTGAAGAGAGCCAAACCTTCCAGTGGATTGTTACACCCTCTGTCCTGGGTAAGCCAGATACTTTGATTTCTATATGATCAAAAACGAACAGAAATTTAATTCAATTTGATTCCCTGAACTGAAAAGCTTATTTTACATCTGATCATGTTTGTACCAGGACATGGTATTACACTTACAATAGAAATTTCTTATAGGGATTGTTCATCCAAAAATAAAAATTGTGTCATCATTTACTCACCCTCATGTCGTTCCAAATCTGTATGAGTTTTTGTCTTCTGCTGATACAAAAAAAATATTTTTAAGAATATTGGTAACCAAACACATGCCAAAACATGATTCTTGAAAATATCTTAATCCTCAAAACAAAGTCATACAGGTTTGGAATGACATGGAGGAGTGAGTAAATGATGAAAGAATTTTCCTTTTTGGATGAACAATCCCTTTAATACATTCCTATTTTATTTTTGGGTGGACTATGTATTTAATTTGGATGTACTACCTTGACAGTCACAGATTTGTTTATTATTGCAGGCCCCAGAGGTACTTTGTTTCTTCTGTAAATCCACTGTCATTGTGTACTGGTGTGTGTGTGTGTTTTACAGGAAAGGTGAACATTACAGTGCGTGCTGAGGCGGTCCAGAGCCGAGAACTGTGTGGAAACGAAGTGGTGACTTTGCCAGACAAAGGCAGAGTTGATAATGTGATGCACAGTGTTCTGGTGCAGGTGCGTGCCTTTACTGTATGTGAGCTTTCAGAAACCATGTGACTCACTCTTCAACATCAACAAGCTAACAAGTCAACAGGAAATTTATATGTACTATAATTACTTTCATAATACATATTTCTGGTCATACTATGTTGAAACAGTGTGCATTATTCTATTTATTTATTATTATTATTATTATTATTATTATTATTATGTTAAACTCATAAAACAATAATATATCAACATACAGACAATTAGTTCAAGCTTCTTTTCAAGCTAAGTCACCAGAGCTCTTATCAGCTGGCTTTGACTGATGATAGATTCATCACTTTGATTGAACAGATTTAATTAAGTGATAAATCGAGAAATATTGAACTCCAGTAAATAAATTCAGTAACATTAACTAACATTTTTTATATATAAAAAACAAAAGATCCAAGTGTCCCCCTTTTCAGCATCCCTGCATATCAGATGTGTGTGTGTGTGTGTGTGTGTGTGTGTGTGTGTTGCAGGCTATCAGAGAGAGCTGACATACAAGCAGGAGGACGGATCTTACAGTGCTTTTGGGAGGAATGATCCTTCTGGTAACACCTGGTGAGTCTGGTACAGAGACAATGAAAGCATTCATCCCTTATCTTACGTTATGTGTTACTGTGTGGATTCTGGTATATAGGTTTAATGCCAGTCTATTCACATGCTGTTTTTGAAATAGGCTGCTAGAGATATTCAATAAATCCTCATGGACTTACTGAAATGTATCAAGGCAAATTTACTGAATCATGAGTATTTGACCGCAAACATTTGTGACGAAGTCTTAGATCAGGCTAATATTGAACTTTGGTATCTTCAGGGGTTTTCTTTTGCATTCGGTTTGCAAGAGAGGCTTATTGTGGGATAATGTATTATACAATAAGAGTGTGTGCATGTGTGTGCGTATGCGTGTGTGTGTGTGTGTGTGTGTGTGTGTGGATTTGTGAGAGTTTTGTGAGAGTGTTGTTTATAGATTTCACTGGTTCAGACTTAATTCTTGAGGACTAGTACTCACGAATATACAAGATTATACTGTAGCTTTTTCCCTCTAACATAAAAAAGTAATATTAATAGTTGTGCATTTGAAATATCTTAGCATCCATAAAACAAGACATAACATTTACAAGAAGTATATAAATCAGAATATATATATATATATATGGCAAAATTGTTTCAAGAATTTAATGAAGTTTATGCTTTAAAATTATACACAAGATTATGGTTCAAAAGTTTGGGGTTCATTACTTAAAAAAAAAATAAATGTATACTTTTATTCAGCAGGGGTGCATTAAATTGCAAGTGACAGTAAAGACATTAATAATGTTACAAAAACATAAAAAATAGTGATTTAATAAATGCTGTTAAAGTAAACTTTGTTACGTTAAAGAATCCTGAAAACATTGTCACAGTTTCCACAAAAATATTAAGCAGCACAACTGTTTTCAGCATTATTTTTAATAATACATGTGTCTTGAGCACCAAATCAGCATATTTCTGAAGAATCATGTGACACTGCCTGGAGCAGTGAACACTGGAGTAATGGCTGTTGAAAATTCAGCTTTGCCATCAAAGGAATAAATTACATTTTAAAATATACTGTATTAAATAAGAAAAAACAGTAATTGTAATACTAATTAATTGTTTTTAATTAATACAGCCTTGGTAAGCATAGAAGACTGCTTTCAAAACAATTAACAAATCTTCCCAATCCCAAACATTTGATATATTATTAGAAAACTGAAAATGTATCTTGTTTTTGGTATATTTAGATGTAAAAAAAAAAGTAATCACTAAGAGTGCTCTGCAATACATTGTATACAGTTAAATCTCTTAATGCTTAGGAAAGAACACATTAAAGTAATGCTTAGAGCTACATACTGTATAGAATATAGAAATAAATAGCAAAAGGGGGTCTAAGGCAATAGTTCAAGGGACCCAGAAACTCATGCTACTGGAAAAATTGAGATGACATGAAATGAGAAGAGCACATATGAGAAGCTGTCACAGCGTTGAGTGGGATGAGGAGATGACTCGAGGAGAGTCATTTATGGATAGGAAACTGCTCCTTAGTCTGGTGGTCCTGGATTTCACACTTTGGAAATGTCTGTTAGATGCCAATAAAGTGAGGAGATTGAAATTCTGAGGGTGGGAATGATCTTTGATGATGCACTCTTGCATGTCTAAATGTGTTTTTGCCCTGCATCTTCTTTCTCAGGGTGGTGTCAATGATGAAGTCACTCTCTCTGCATACATCACCGCAGCACTGCTTGTGTTAGGTGTCCAGAACTCTGTGAGTAAAACCCTCTTAATGGCTCCAAAGAGATGGACTCTAGTCACAGATAACTCAATACAGATAATATGACTAATGAAGTCTTTTGTGTGCTTTGTAAGGATCCCATGATAGTGAAAAGCCTTGAATGTCTTATGGAGGCTTCCCGTAACATTATCAACACTTACGTGACCGCCTTGCTGTCCTACATATTCACTCTTGCTGGAGATGAACAGATGAGACAGAACCTCCTCTCCAACCTGGACCAGCAGGCCAAGAGAGAAGGTACTATTCAGCTTTAAATTAAATAAGACGAATAATGATACTAAAATACTTATCTTTAAGGATCTTGTTTCTTTTTTATTCATATACTGTACATTACATGACTATATATTAAATAAAAAGGCTCCAATAGTTTTTATTCATAAAGACCTTTCTATTTTGTGTTTGATAAATTCAATAATTGATTTTTAATTAAATAAGTTACTTCAATTAATTCAATTTTCAAATCAATTCATAATTTACTTCTATAGCACGGAGCCCCACACATGTCAGCTGAAGAAGAAATAGATATTGTGGCCATGAATTAAGAATTTGTTCCCACAACTTATTCATTTGTGGCCACATATTACTTACTCTTCCTTTGTTTTAGTTAAATTGTGGCTAACTAGTTCCCATGTTATGTTTTAGTTATATTGTGGGCACAATTTATGTTAACCAAGGAAATAAATTCTTAATTCACAGTCATAATATCTTGTTTTTTTTCTCCGCATGTCATGTGTAGGACTCCGTAGTATAGTGCTTGTTGCTAGAAACTAGAAACTCCTAAAAAAGAAAGACAATAAGGCATACACTACTGTATAGTTACTGTGCTGCAAGGAGAAAACCCAGAAAAAAAAATTCAAGAAATATAAAAATACGACTTCATTTAAAAAAAAGAAAACAGACTGCAAATCAAATTAAGTACATTTTAACTTTTTAAACAATTTTTTTTCTTTTGTGATTTTGTTTGTTTATATTTTTTCTTTACATTTTTTTGTGTGTGTTCCCCCAGTACCAATTTCTCTGGACCCCAGTTTGAAAACCTCTGATCTAGTATTATCCTGCTGCTTTTAATAAAAATCACAATCACCAGCCTTCAATATTCCAGTTTCCTTGCCTTGATTATTTTAGGTGTTGGACGATATTGGACTCTGGATAATAATGCGCAACCATGGGGCTTTGTGGAGGTAGAGATGAGTGCCTATGTGTTGCTGGCGCTGCTCTCGGGACCCACACTCCCTGGATTTGGACTGAACTACTCTGCTGGCATAGTGCACTGGTTAACCAAGAAGCAGAACGCGTATGGAGGCTTCTCCTCTACACAGGTGTTATTTATCTCATGCAGCTTTTTTTAGACCCCTTTCTGTCTTTATAATGTGTTTTATTATTATTGACTAAAAGTGGTGTCGTCCATCTCTCTGTGAACAGGATACAGTAGTAGCACTCCAGGCCCTCGCTAAGTACAGTGCTGCCACCTACAATCCAGAAGGATCCATTACCGTAACCATGACCTCCCCCTCAGGCCAGAGGAACCAGTTCACTGTGAACCGGAACAACCGGCTGCTTTACCAGGAGAAACAGCTGCAGGAAGCTACTGGCACATACAAGCTGAGGACAGAAGGCAAAGGCTGTGTGTTTGTGCAGGTCTGTGCACCTCTTTTGATGCACATATTGAGAAATCCAAGGAATAGTTCATCTAGAAATGAAAGTTTTCATTATTTACTCACCTGTATATCATTCCAAACCTGTATGACTTACTTTCTTCAATGGATCACAGAAGGAAGGATTTGGAATTACATAAGGATGAGTATACTGCATTATGACTATTTAAATGTATATACGTTATATAAATCACCTCGTCTTTGACATCATTCTGTGTTTTTTTTTGTCTCTCAGTTTGCCTTGCACTACAATATCCCACCTTTGGCCTTCAAAATCAAATCAAATCCTGGGGTTTGCAACAACACAAAGAACACTGCTTTTACACGAACCACTACTGTAAGGTGAGCCACACCTCTGTTAAAAAAATACCATCATGGAGACAGCTATTATGTATATAATACACGCATGTGATTTTTTTTTTTTTGCTAATTTAATTAGTTACATCATTAATCATTTATTTAAATGCCATTGTTTACTATGACTTTGTCTCTCCTGTGAAACAAAAAAAAAAATTATTTTAGAGAATCTTCTTACAGCTCACATTTATAGTTGTTTTATGAATTTTTGCAGGTGAAATGTAAATCAATTTCAATTAGATTTCCACACGATCTGGAATTTCATGTGATTGCAAAAGATTTCCCCACACAAATTTCATAACAGGTTCAGCTGGTCACACGAGTTCAGCCAACATAAAGTTGCTTGGTTTGACCTCTTTTGGCTTGAGAAATATTGCTGCTGTTTTGCTAATTTACAGATGTTTAGCCAATTTTTGCAGGCAAAATCCAGTCAATTCAATAGGCATCCATGTATATCGAGTGACGACGAAAGATTTCTCTGTGCAGATTTCGCCAAAGGTTCAGATGGTCACGTGAATTCAACCAACATAAAGCTGCTTCTTACAGCTCTAAAAGTTAAAAAAACGTAAAACATTCAATGGAAAAAAAATTCAATCTAACAGTATTAGTGGTATTATGCAGCCTACATTCTACTGAACAATATCTCTGGCACAGTGTCTTCAAGTTAAACCAAACTTTTATTTTGATGGGTTGCCGTGAATACCTTTACTTTTCTGTCTGATACAAGGCTAGTTTTACTCAAATGAAATGGTAAAATGCTAATGAAGTGACTCTCAGAGCAGTTTTGGAGATGTTGTTCATGTATTTATGTCCTCATTTAGTGAAACGGCAGATGCTGAAATCACCACGATCGTCACACGCTTCACTGTGTGTGTAGTAAACTAAACCGGCGTCTGCGCCATTCATTCATACAGTCACACGCAGAACATGCAGGATTCATGTTTAAATAGTCTTTTTGTGGCTTAATATTTACAGATACTAGTCCATATTTTAAGTCTAATCACCTACTTTTGATTAATTCATTTAAAGTTTGACAAATTCTGGGACATTCCGCGTTATAGTCCTACAGAAAATTCAGTTTTTATGACTGGATTCCGTGATTCCGTCCGTGCCCTCCTAATATGGCAGGGGAAACAATGATGTTTAAGAGTTTCATTTTTATAAATCTTAGTGACATCATGATATAGTTAAGCATTGCTTAATTGTGCTTTACGAGCCTGTATTTAATCTTACCATAATGCATTTTCATTTTATTGAGACAAGCTCAACAATGCAGCACACAAAAAAACCAGGCTGTGTTTCCTCCAGGTGAACTGTCTGTGATTGACTACACCGCCCCATGTGCATAAACACTACGGTAAGTAATAAATACATTTTATCTAAAGCTCCATTAGTATATTTTAATAATTGTAGCCTACTCTTAAATTTGAACTCCCAAATCCATAAAGGCATTTACATGTTATAAAAAAAAAACTATTTCAAATGTTCTTTTGAAATTTCTGAATTTCAAAAAATATCTGGATCTTAAAAGAATAATCTAGTGCAATTATTAGTGCAAATATTAAATCCTAATTTCAAGTTTTAAATCTTTCCCAACCCAATTATATATTTAGAAAATAAAAGCACACATCTACCAATTGCAAATGTTTACAATATTACGTCAAACCACTTTATATTTTAATAAAAATTGAACTGATATGTTGGTGTGGATTAGTTCAACTCTTCTACTGCTTTAGTAACTTAAGTTTTAAACAAGATTTTATCGCCAACACATGAACGCTGCTTTCAGACGTTTTGTTTTCTGTTGTAACACCCAATAATATCTGTATACTGTTTCCCCCTTGAGTGCTTAAAAGTAGCACAGTCAAAAACTGTGGTTTTCCAAACCACTCAGATGCTTGAGATCTCTCCTTAGCAAAAAGAAGTCATCTTTTAAAATGCCTGTTAACTTCAGTAATATCATGTTAGAATGCTAATTGAGAATATTCTCCTACTGCTGCCCACTAAAGCGGTGTCAGTTTCACAGCGTTCCAGGAATTACCAAATAATTTCAGTAAACAATCCCAACAAATTGCATCAGCAAACAACTCACTTCAGAGAGACTAAAGTGTACAGTATACCCCAAACAGTTCAGTATGTATTGCCTACATATTGCTCAAAGACTGAACTGATACTCACTAACTTCTCAAAGTTTGAATTCTAAAGAGATTGAATTTTTTTAGGGCCGCCTTGCAGAAAATGGCTGCATATTTAGTGATATGATCTGAAAGGCAGTTTTCCCAGATTTAGTGTTAAAATCATAATAAAGTCCAAGTCAAAATATATCTTTGAAATTGTTTTTAGGGCTGCCTTACAGCAAATGGCTCCATATTTAGTAATAACCACTATTTGAAAGGCAGTTTTCCCATATGTAGTGTTAAAATGATCATATATGCCAAGACAAAATGTAACAGCAAGTTAACAGTTACTGCATTTGTTAGTGGCTATGTGCGCAAAAATAGCTTTTTTAATTTTAATTTTTGTTTATTTTTTGGTAATATGTAAGATATGATGTTCTGGGGCAGAGTCAAAGCTAAATCAAGCATTTTGCATACAGGCCTAGTTCTGGCTTAAGTGTGAACGCTGCCTTCCGAACCTTGGTGCGCATCAAACAAGTGGACTATAAACGCAGTGTGAACCAAATACATCTAAACGAACCAAAAAACAGGACGTGATGTCACAAGATGCGATCCTAAAAAAGACAAAATTCTCAAACATACCTTGTTCTTCTCTTCGTAGTAGCCATCTTGCCAATTAGCCTACAGTTCGAGACGATATCCGTGTGTGCAGGAGGAAATCTTGTTTCTGTTTTGACTCCTTTATACATTTTAAAAGGTATTTGTGAGTTTTAAGCTATTTTTACGTTTTAACCACCAAATGTACACTGTAAAAAAATGATCGTGAATTTAACGGTAAAAGACTGTAAAAATTGGTAATATGTAAGATATGATGTTCTGGGGCAGAGTCAAAGCTAAATCAAGCATTTTGCATACAGGCCTAGTTCTGGCTTAAGTGTGAACGCTGCCTTCCGAACCTTGGTGCGCATCAAACAAGTGGACTATAAACGCAGTGTGAACCAAATACATCTAAACGAACCAAAAAACAGGACGTGATGTCACAAGATGCGATCCTAAAAAAGACAAAATTCTCAAACATACCTTGTTCTTCTCTTCGTAGTAGCCATCTTGCCAATTAGCCTACAGTTCGAGACGATATCCGTGTGTGCAGGAGGAAATCTCTTTTGACTCCTTTATACATTTTAAAAGGTATTTGTGAGTTTTAAGCTATTTTTAAGTTTTAACCACCAAATGTACACTGTAAAAAATGATCGTGAATTTAATGGTAAAAGACTGTAAAAATGCTACAGTAAAAACCTGTTAAATGGTTAACAGTAAATTCCCCTACTATATACGGTGAAAAACTGTATTGGACATTAATTTTACTTTAGTATATCATTTTTGGAAGTGGAAAAAGACTATAATTTACAGTGAATAACCGTAAATTGAAATTCCCAGAATTCCCTGCGTTACATTTCAAATTTGATGATTTTTTTGTTGAAATAACTATGTTTCTTCTTAGTTTTTTCTTATCAGTTTTGTATATTAGGGTTGCGTGTTACACCTGTTGTTAAATTAATGTTTATTGCATTATTTCAGTTTCATGTGTAACCATGATGGTGTTTAGTGTCTGTGTGAATGACACTGTGCACCTTCTATATATGCTATTATTTAAAAGCTACTTGTGATGGGCTTTTGTTCATCATGTGACTTTCTCATCACCACCTGCATTTGGTGGTTATCAGTGTATTACAAAAGTACAAAACAGATTTCAGTACTTCAATAGGTTGGTACATTAACATTATATCAGTTATCCATATTTTTTACAGATAATTTTACGGATTTTTTTAACAGTGTAGCCTACACACAACCCAGCACACAGCATTGTTTTGGATTTTCAGTAAATTCGCAAAATATGCATAGTAAAATCTGCCTAATCAGGTTGTGATCCTTATGTCTTTTGACAGTGAACTAAGCCAAGGGAACCAGTACTAAATGTATCATTTCATTTTGTTCATCTGGAGTCCAAAAGACAAGGTTTCTGCAGATCTTAAAAAGTCTTAAATTCATAAAACCATGGCATTAAATGTTGCATGCACTGGAAAAAAGATGAGAATGAGTATGTTTTCCAGTACAGATCTAAACATCCTTAAATCAAAATACATATATTAGATATTGTCTAAGAAATTTTAAACAATCAAATGAGTTTATGCTTAAAACAAGAACAAATATGTGACATGTATTAAAACACATTTTCTCAAAGTTCATTTTTCTGTTTGTTCTTATTTGAGTCACAAACTCACTTCGAAATCGACTTTGTATGTCATTTTGCTTCTAAAGTAAATGTATCTTGATTTAAGGAAATTTAGGCGTTTGCATTTACTTCTGTCAGGACCACTGTCGGCAAAGATGATTGACAATTAGCATACAGTTTGGACTGGCGGTATGGTTCCGTTCTGGGCAAGAACTCCCTGCGCATCCATGTAGCCTAGCATGGATGAGAGCTAGGAGAGCAGCGATAACCCCCCCAGGGTAAACAGAACAGATCCAACATAAATGTATTGCATATATCATTAAGTTCAATAATGTTATGTACACATTTTAGAATTAGTCTGATTCAAAGGAGAATCAGAAGGCTGAATCCTGACTGACAGAGGAGGAGTTGGGGATGGAGGAGCGTAATTAGCTATTGAGCAATGCGAAAACTGTTGATAATACTCCGGGACCTTATATATGAATACTTAGACTAAGTTAGTATTCCCATAGGTTGATGGGGACCAGCTGAGAGCCAGCTGATGCGAGCTTGACTAATGTGACCTGCCAGAACTAACGCTACGCTAGATTTTCATAAAACCTGCCGAGATCCTGAAAATTACCAAAATAACTAAAATTTAAGTGTAAACATATTTTAACACACTGCAAGCAGCATATTGTACTTCTAAAGTGATTTATTTCAAGGTTAATTTATGAAACTAGGTTGTTGTCCAACCAAAATAAACTTGGTCTACAAACTTTCTTGGGTTAACCTTATCATAGCACATCTTAGCAGTAGGTTTTTAATTTAGCATGCTGCTCTCTTGTCTGGTGTCATGAAAACAACACAGTAGCTATGATGCAAGACTTCTGCTTGCGTTGCAGTGTTAATTACAGCAGTGAAGGTTACTTGCCCTTTTACATCTGAAGTCCGAGTTTAGTTGTGACCTCTGGGCTACAGTCTTCTCTGCAAGTGCGTGTTTTATGTGTTAGCATGGATCATAATTAGGCAAATAAACACAAAAACACCATAAATAAGGAAAACTGTGAATGTATTCATGTTCAACATTTTACAACACTGTTTTCACCTAGTTCTGTGATAGTACTCAAGACATCTTACACGCAAAATGAAGACTAATTATTCATGTTGATTTAAATTCTCTGTAGATTTCATTTCAACATACAGTTTGGTTTCGGGAGGAAGCAGAAAATGTTGGTCTTTTTTTAAGAGTGTCGTAGCTGTAACATCACTAACCATAAATAAACATTTTATTTTCCCCAAACTAACACAAGGTGGAACAAACTAGTTAATAGCCTGCTTGTAAAACATCAATAATACTTGAAGAGCTACTAAACCGTTTAAATAGCCCCCTAAATTGTATTAAAGCCGTATCGGACTGATTTAAATAGGTCACCTTTTTTAAAATTACAGTACGTGTCTGTTCACAATCTCTTAAAACAGTAAAACCCACGATGTATCACATGGAATAAAGGTGCGGTCACATTTATAGTTGCTTTATGAATTTTTGCAGGTGAAATGTAAATCAATTTCAATTAGATTTCCACACGATCTGGAATTTCATGCGATTGCAAAAGATTTCCCCACACAAATTTCGTAACAGGTTCAGCTGGTCACATGAGTTCAGCCAACATAAAATTGCTTGGTTTGGCCTCTTTTGGCTTGAGAAATATTGCTGCTGTTTTGCTAATTTACTGATGTTTAGCCAATTTTTGCAGGCAAAATCCAGTCAATTCAATAGGCATCCATGTATATCGAGTGACGACTAAATATTTCTCTAAGCAGATTTTCTCCAAAGGTTCAGATGGTCACGTGAATTCAACCAACATAAAGCTGCTTGGTTTGAAAGTGACTTCTCTGTGAGCTGTACTTTATGCACACTACACTATTGACAGCAAACAATTGTAATTTTTTGCCTATGTAATTTTTACAATTGTTTTGCCAACTTACCGTTGGTCAGTGAATTTCCGCAGATGAATTTCAATAAGCATCCATGCAATCTGGAATTCTGCATGATGGTGAAAGCGATTTCTAAACCGATTTTCAAATCCGTCACGCGAATTCACTGCGTTGACCAACAGAAAGCTGGAAAACTTGCTTGTTTTGAACGTGACTTCTGTGTAAGCTGTAGTTCATGCACCGCTACACTACTGACAGTAAACAATTGACATTTTTTGCCTATGTATTTTCACAAAACGTTTGCTAATTTACTGTTGTTCAGTGAATTTTCGCAGGCGAAATTCAGAAGTATTTTAATGCATTTATATTAAGTACGAATCCAAATGGTATCATTGAATATAATTTACTATTATGTGGTTCATGTAATATTATAGACTTTATAAAATATAAACATAAATGTTTCATACAATATTTTTAGATTTGATTTTGAATTTAAGTTTAAGTTTTTTGCAGTGTAGATATTTCTAAATATGTATTAAATTCAATGGCTTTATGCTCTCGGCATTCAATAATTCACCTCACAAACACATTGTGGTCAGCATGTTTATCCTTGTTGGACGTGAACCTGCATTTAATGTAGCCTGGGGCGTATTTACTTTTACTCATGGTTTTAAAGGATGAGGTCTCAACACTTTCATGTTGGCACATACTATATTGCCTGTTTCCATCAAGTGACATTTGCACGAAAATGCTGCAATGTTTGATTGGACACACTGACTTTGATGTAAAAAAATTAAATAAAAAGATGGGCAGTGTTTTCTTCTCTTTTTTTTAATTGTTGATAAGCCTATTTAATTTATTTAACAGCTTGTTATCACATTACACTTTAACACACTATCATTATAATTGTGCATGATTACTTTGAACCTGTTTTATAAGCTCCTATGTCACATGCAGCACAAGCAACAGCGTTCACTCAGTACCCAGATGAGCCTCTTTAGCTCTCTTGAGCTAAAGTGGATTAATAAACACTCATTCCACTTAATTAATAATAAATTATTAATTATTAGCACCTCTAATTTTAATACAGCTGCATATGTACAGCAGGAGGTGCTTGTTAAAATGTGCTAATTACTTCTCCTAACCTAAACACTCATTATTAAAGAGCACTCCACTCATGCAATGGATATACAAATCTCTTCAAATGATTCTGACACTCTCGAAGAGTGAATTATATTACGGCTTCCCGTTAACCCATTACATTATACAATGTGAAGCTGACGGCGTACAATACACCACACAACTGCTTCTGTGGGGCTATTACGTTATACACACACTTAGTATCTCACCACAGGTGGGAGTAGTAAAGAAACACTTAAGAGAAACACACACAGGTTGTAAATTACATTATACTCTCATCCTCAGTAACTGCAAAAAAAACAAAAACAAATATCCACTAAGTGAAGGTGCCAATAGTCCAGTTATTCAAAACAATACAAGACGAGGTATGTTAATTAGTCACAAGGAAGTAAGTGTGTGAAATATGCACAAATTAGAGCAATTTCCTCTAAGCAAACATGCAGGATAGGGTGATAGCGGTGGAGAGCGATACGTACGTTTGTCAAATTCAGATTGAAAAATCCTTTCTGTGAAAACAGTCGGCAAAGCAAAAGAATGAAGAAAAAGAAGGGTGGGGAACATTGACAGCAGAGTTACAGCATAAGAGACAAAAGAGAAGAAAGAAGCTAAAGATCAAATGAAATGGTGCAACAGGAGCGCAGAGCAGAAAAACAGCGGGAGATGTGAGCTGTGCTTATACCAAGGGCTCTTATTCGATCGTACCTTTGTGGCACTGCGCAGGTGATCATAGTAAACCTCCTCGATAGCCTGGAAGTAGATGACGCCCTTCAATTTGCTCTCATGTTTATCTGCGGACAGGAGAAACAGAGATGTCACACTGCGAAAAAACGTTCTCTTAATAAGTATTTGATTGCGATGTTTTTGTTTGAAAACCAATTAATTCGAGAAGCGAAAGCAAGTGTGTTCACCGAAAACAAGCATTTCCAAGTATTTTGACTGGAAAACTAGTGATTAGCACAATGTTTTGCACAGTGATGGTTTCGAAAACAAATAATCCCCCACTCCCCTGGAGAATAATGATCTGGTAAGCACCGATGTGACCTTGTTACTGTGGTGCAACCCCTTCATTTTCATTCCGCGCAGAAATAAAGAGCAAGAGCTCCCGCTTTGCCGAGCGCCATGGCTGGGTGATGAGCACGATTTCCTCAGCATTGCGGCAGATTTCATCACCATCAGATAGCATGCGGACGGGCTTCTGGTTATTTGTATGCCCCTAGCTAACCCGAGGCTATCGGAAATCATGGCAGCCACTGTGAGCTTAAGAATGACTAATTATCCGTATCCCCCCACTGCTGGATTCACCCACAATCCACTCTTTGTTCTGCCCTCGTTTCTTTCCCCAACCTCAGGGGGACGAAAGCGTAACGACACGTTCGCCGGGCGGCATTAGCATAGTGCACAGTAAGGAGGATGTTGGAAGGCGACGCTGCGGTGCACATACCGGCGTAGTAGGAAAACGTCCTTTTAAGGCGATCAAAGACGAACCAGCGCTTCCTCCAGGATTTGATCTTCCCTCCCATCTTGACAAGATAGCCCTTGCACATCTTTTCGGTGAGAATCACGTGGTAGCACATGTCCACGCTGTGACCTGAGGACTCGATGTGGGAACGGAGGTCAAACTCCTCTTTGCGAATGGGCAGGTATCGGGTCATCGGGCGGGCCTGGAAATCAACAACGTGTGGTTTATATTTTTGATATGACATGATATGTTTTATTTCCCTATCAATTAATTTAACCAAAATTCATTAAAAAAACTGACTTCATAAATAAAACGTTTTGAACTCAGATCTTCCACGATGAACGTGGTTTTAATTTCAGGAAATTATTTTATATATATATTCATTCATTTATTTTCATTTTTTATTTATTTACATTTCATTTTATTTATTTATCTTTTTAAGGTGGCAAAAGGTCAAAAATGTCATTGTCTTGAATAACATAATAGAAAAAGGATAATTAATTTCATGTTACTATTCATACTAAAACCTTAATTCTAATAATAATAATAATAATAATAAAAATATATATATTTTAACAAAACATTGAAAACTGTACTGCAGCCAGATCAATCCAGTGGACCTTTTTATGACAGTTTAGGTCGTAAAATGTCACTTTCTGTAAGTAAATTTGAATGAAATTATTATATATGGTCATAAGTTTACATACATCTTGCAGAATCTACAAAATGTTTTCATTTCAATTTAACAAATATTACTAATTTTAACAAAATGTTCATATGTTTCGGTTATATTTTCTTGTGGACTACATGTAAACTTCTATTACGTTTATGCTATAGCTTATGTAACAGCTTATTCAAGGCAGTACTAATTAACAAGCAATGTTTATGATCCCTCTTACTTTGTTAAAATTATACAATTATTATAAATTTGGTGGTTCCACAAAGCATATGTAAACTTGTCATCAGAAGTGTATATTATATTATATATATATATATATATATATATATATTAACAGAGAACACATTTTAAATTGTAATAATCTTTCACAATATTACTGTTTCACTGTATTTTAGATTCAAACAAAATCCGACCTTCATGAGCACAAAAAACTTCTTTCAAAAGCATTCAAATATCTTTTGAACCCAAACTTTTGAATGGCAGAGTACACTTCAGTATGACTAATTCATTATGAGTTATTAAACATACATTAATATAAGGTAATTCCGGAAGATTACATATAAATAATTACTCCTAATTTGGTCACACTTTATTTTAAGGTTCAATTCTCGCCATTCATAAACCATTAACTCTGGCTTTTGCCTCAATAAACTCCTAATATGCTGCTTATCAATAGTTAGTAAGGTAATTGTTAAGTTCAGGTATTGGGTAGGATAAGTGATGTAGAATATGATCCCGCAGAATATGTGCTTTATACGTACTAATAAACAGTCAATATGTTAATAATAGGCATGCTAACAAGCAACTAGTTAATAGTGAGAATTGGTCCCTATACTAAAGTGTTACCATTACTTTCAATCAATAAATGAAAATGTAGATACATTTTCTATGTATTACTTAACATTTCATTTATGTTTAGTAAATGAACTTTCATTTTATGAACTCTGCTGCACTCCATCCCCAACATTTTCCAGAATGCTCTAATTTACCCCCAACGTCTTTAAAATGGAGACAAACACAGAGCAGGCTTATCGTATAAATTATGCATTTTTTGTGTGTGTAGAAATAAATCTGCTATGTGACTGTACTGAATTTCTTTGAATTACAATTAAGTGCATTGCTCTTCCTGTCATTCCAAATCAAACTCCACTCCAACATGCTCTGCAGCGTGACCAATTCAATTCAGATCCACACTCATGAACTGAATTCTGAATTTCACTCAGCCGGTGTTTGCACCTCATTCATTTCCACAACCCACATTTCCTTTCTCCTTTGGCTCATCTGTTATTTATAAATGTCAAATTCTGATGAAAGTATAACTGCCATATGTACATTTGGATTACTTACACAAGTGCAATGGATTACTCTATATGCGCAGAGGGGGATGGTGAAGAACAGACAAAAAGTGGGAGTGCACTTCTGACAGGAAGGGTGGATAAGCAAACAGTGTGTTTATGGAAGACGCCTTTTCGATTGTTGACATTTTTGCAAGCCCATTTAGTCCAATGTGTGCTCTGACTGTCCCTGTTAAGTGGAAGCTGAACAGACGACACATAGCCCGTTTAACCCAGCAACAACCTACAAGCTTAAAGACGTGTCTTCACGCAGTCCGTTTAACCCAGAAACAACCTAATCTGTAGCCTCAAGCATCAAAGCCATTCATTTGTTCTTTCCTTTTCTCAGGAAAGGGGGAGGGATGAAGCACGGCTGCTGCATTCTGATTCTGAGTTACTACATGCATGTGAATTGATCTCAAATATACATTATTTTTTACACATTTTCACATGGATGTAATATAATATACAGCGTATTCAAAAATCTTTTCTAACAATGTATCTTTTTTATCAATTTAGCACATCCTTGCTGAACAAAAGTATTCATTTCTTTAAATTCTTAAAAAAAATTATCCCAAACTTTTGAATGTCAGTGTATATTGAGATTCTTTAAATGTTTTTTTTTTGAAAGAAGTCTTTTATGCTCACAAAGGCTATGTTTATTTCTTCAAATACATAGTGAAATCAGTAATGTTGTAAAATATTATTACCAGTTTTTTACAGTTCTTTATAAAAATATACAGTATTTTTAAAAATTCATTTATTTCTGTCATGACTTCATTTTTTTTAAAGCTGAAAGCTCAAAATTTAGAAATCTTTTGTAACTTTCACTTTTGATAAATTTAATGCATCCCTGCTGATTAAAAGTAATATTTTCTTAAAAAAAAATACAAATCTTACTGACGCAAAACATTTCAATAGTAGTGAGTATTACATTCATTTTATAAGATTTTTATAAAATGTTTAATATTTATATTTAAATTTATTTTTGTTAATATTTATATTTAAAAGTGTATTATATATAGACTCATATCATTTGCCATACTCAAATCCCTCACAATTACTATGTAATGTACTACACGATCACAATTAAAATGCAATGTTTAAAATGAAAAGAAATGAGAATAATTTACGCTCCCTATGATCTGAAGTCTCACATTAGTCGGCCGAACACCCTATGAAGTCCACTTTGCAGGCACTATCGGTGAAAGCCATTAAGCAGATGGTTGATCATTTAGCTTGGGACAGGCATGTGGAGAGAAACCACAGAGCCGCCACTAATTCCTGTCACAGAGCCACTGGCTAAGCGCTCAGAGAAAGTGATTGAGGAAAGCATGTGGAAATGTCGAACCTGGACATGTTGTCAGGAGAGCAGGCCGAGTTGTTTCCAGTGGAGATGCTTGTGTCCATGCTGTCCGAGCTCTCCAGGCTGAGGGTGTCATAAGGCTGTTCCCTAGAAGAGGGCGCTGTGTGGTGCAGGATGGAGTGGTGCATGACTGGCCCAGAGGTGGAGGAAAAGGGACTGTTGAGCTGCGTTTGAGAGCCATGGAGCGCCTCCCACTGGCAATGAGCCTCTACTGCAGCTTTCTGCTTCAGCTCGGCCAGACGCCTCCGCTGCTCCTCAATCACCTGCTGGCCTGGTGTAGATAAAACACATACATGAAAGTCAAATCCACAGAGAGGATATGCTGTGAACTAAATGATCCCAAAACTGAACAAGCTAAGCAGTTTATAGGTCACAGATAGCTGCCAAACCCTTTATTAGACTACATAGTGCTTTGAAAACCAAGTGACTGCACATCCATTTAGGATGGCATAGTTTGCCCATAATTTGCTCCATCATGCCTCACACATACATATATAAATATGTGACTTATGTGCGCTGAATAAACAGCCAAAGCAATACCTCTAAATCAAGATTCCTTTGTACACTACCAGTCAAAACTCCTCTACTCATTATTTATTTTTGAAAACTATTGCAATTATGTTGTAACGTTAATAAAATTAATTTTTAAAAAACGAATGAAACTGATTAAACTAGTTAAACATTTATGCTCCCTGTGTTTTTGGATCAATCAATCAATCAATCAATCAATTAGTAAAGTCACAAAAAGTTTACATATTAAAAATGCAAATTAAATATAAAAAATTAATTAAACTCTTCTTACATTTGAGCTTTAATAAAATAAAATAAAATAAAATATTTCCCATGATTTGGAAATGATGTAGAAGTCACAAAAAAGTTTACATATTAAAAACGAAAATTAAATACATAAAAAAAATTAAGCCGATCTTATATTTGAGATAAAATAAAATAAAATATTCCCATGATTTGGGAATTATGTAGAAGTCACAAAATGTTTACATATTAAAAGCGAAAATCAAATAAAAAAAGTAATTAAGCTGATCTGATATTTCAGCTTTATTAAAATAAAATAAAATATTTTAAAAACCTGAATTATTATATTTGAGTTTTACTAAAATATAAAATAAAAATAAAATAAATAATTAGTCTTCATTTGTAAGTTAGGTACAATGTAGGATTTATATTTGCATAAAAAGTAATTACAAAATAGAATTAAAAAAACAATAATAAAATGTTCCCTGTGACTTTGAGAATTTTTATTTTTTACCATAAAAATGTTAACAAATGAAAATTAAATAATTACAAAAATCGAATTACACTGGTTTTATATATTTAAACTATGTAGAATTAAATTGTGTACAACTTTTGACTGGTAGTGCAGCAGAAGTGCTTTAAATATATGAAACTACAAGATTATCACTGATATCATGATTCAATGCATGCACAGCTATGCCATCAATGGGAAAAAAACCTTGGTAAAAGACCATTTGGACACGGCAAGACCGTTCCAATGGGGAAGGAAGTGCACAAAACGTTGAGGTAGAATTAATGAGGATGCTGATTATGATGAAGGGCAGTCCAATGCTACACAGAGCTCGCTCTACCTGTGGGACTGTCCGTACTGGAGGACGACTCAAAGACGGAGGGCAAGAATTCTGTTTGAGGGCAAGGGACAACAAAGGATGACTGATGATCAAAAGTTAAAACACAACTAAGGAAAACGATGAAAGAATAAACTGGTATCCCGTGGCCACTTTAAATAAGGAAAATAAAACTGATGTGGAAAATTACAAAAAAGCATGCAGGGTGAGTAAATAATGACATTTTTGGTTGAAGTTTGACGGCTCATCAGCCTTTTATGTTGATTTTACAACCAGCTCTGAAATGTCAGCTGTCAAGCTGCTGTGTTTCTCATTACCTTTCTGCTGGAGAGCCAGCTGCCTCTTGGTCTCAATGTCCTGCAGGGTGGCTGCCAGGTTGCGTGGGAGACTCCCGGTGCTGTTGACTACCATCAGAGGACTCTGGGTAAACAAAACAAACAATTATTTCCACCAGCATATTTAACAATAAGGAGGGGGCTAAATTACCACATTAAATGATGCAGGAGATTCTGAGAACTACACTATTTACCCTGGCAGGGGTGTAACAGAGAGAATTTACCCTGGACCGAGGCTAACACCGACTCAATGCTGTATTTACCCTGGCAGGAGTGTTGCGTCCCAGTGTAGCTGTAGTGTATGTGGGGGACAGACCGGCGCTGATTTTCGGTCTCGAAATTGACGATTGGCTGGTATCACTGTCCAGTCGAGAGCGGTACACCTGCAGGACAGAAAGAGTCGTTGTGAGTCGAAGTGTTGCTTTTCATCTTACTAATGTGAAATCGAGTTATATTCCTTACATCAGTAAACATAGCATCTGTAAGATTTAAAGGTGTAGTTCAACACAAAATTCAGTCTTAAAGGGTTAGTTCACCCAAAAAATAAAATTCTGTCATTAATTACTTAGTAATCTCGTAGCTTCATAAAATTCAGTTTGAACCACTGATGTCACATGGACTATTTTAACAATGTTCTTACTACCTTTCTGGGCCTTGAATGTGTTAGTTATGTTGCTGTATATTCAGGGTCAGAAAGCTCTCAGATTTCATCAAAAATATCTTAATTTGTGTTCCAAAGATGAACGAATGGTCTTACAGGTTTGGGACAACATGAGGATGAGTAATAAACAACAGAATTTTCATTCTGGGGTGAACTATCCCTTTAATTTACTCAATACAAGTCTTAATGTGAGCATGAGAAAATAAGATTTAAAAGCTACAGTGGAGGGGAAAAAAGTCATCATATGGTTTAAGTTTGACTTATAGCACACAAATTGCTGTTTTGAATAAATTAAGTAAACTTGAGTGAAGTAAATCTTTAACATTTGTTTTTAATTATATCAACATTGTTAAATGTTAGACAGAACACACTGATTTATATTAAATTATTTATGTTCCATACATTTTTGTAATTGTGATGATAATATATTCTTTGTTCCTTGATTTTAGACTATAAGGGTGCTTTCTGCATACTAGTGCTCAAAACTTTGGGGTAAGTAGGATTTTATTTTTATTGTTTTTTTATTGTTTTTATAGAAAATAAAACATTATTTTATTTGTGAAGGATGCAGTAAAACGATTAAAATTGAAAGTCATGACATTTATAATCTTATAAAAGATTTCAGATCAATGTTGTTCTTTTGAACTTTCTATTCATCAAAGAATGTACCATGGTTTCCACATAAATATTAAGCAGCACATCTGTTTTTTAATATTGATTAAATCTGTTCCGACGAAGAAACAAACTCATCTACATCTTGGATGGGCTGAGTATTAGTACATTTTTAGAAAATGTTTATTTTCTCAACTATTAATTCAACACTTTATTTGTCAGAACGTTTATGATAAATTACCGTATCATACTGGAAAAGGCAACCGTTTCCTAGCATGACCCTAATACTGTGCTTGGTGATGGCCATGTATATGATGTAAAGCTAACAAATATATACAGCACAAACGAAAGTAGGACTATAGATATGAAGAAAGGAAAATAAGTTTAAAAGAGAGAAGCAGAAAGAAGAGAGCAGATATGATACCTCACGAGGGGCAGTTACAGCTGGGTCAAGAGCAAGCGAGAGGCCGTGTGAGGAAGCGTTGGCGAGCTGGATGTCATGGCAATTACTCCCATACATCTTATAAACATCCGACAGCTTCAAGTACTCCTGAGACACGTTACCAGTCAACCCATTCATGCAGGACAGAAGTTCAGCTGTCAGTTTACTCGCATTAAAACCCAATGAGAGCAGTTCTGTCATATTCATACACCTACAGTGACAGGCATGCCTAGCTTGACCAACAGCGACATGCCTCCATCTAACTCTTTACATGAATTACAAATTACAAGTTACTCAAGCAGTGCATCCCAAATCATGTACTTTTGCACTGTTCTATGCCATTTTGTAATATAAATAGTGCAAGTAGTGTGTTCACACTGAAAATTCCAAAAAGAAAAAGTGCATTTTAAATACCCAGATGATGCACTTAAATAACTGGAGAAAAAAAAAAAAACGAAGTGTGAGATTTTGGACACTTCATGCATTCAACTGCTGCAGCTTTAATTACATAACGAAGGGGGAGGGGCTAACAGACACCATTTATGAATGACAAAATAACCTTATATAATTCATACACTACATTAATTAGGTACATAGTGCATAATAGTGTATAAGTGTATAGTGTGTCATTTGGGACGCAGCTATAGTTTCAAGTAGTCCAACTACAGCCAAATTACTTTAAAAAAAAAAGTAGCTGCAAACTCTCTAACAAAAAGTCACAAAAAAAAGATGAAGTGTGATAATGTGGAAGAGCAGAGGAGGGTGAAAGAGAGCTGAGCTTCTGGCTGTTACCTGCGCAGGCTTGCGTGATGAGAAAGCTTTAGCTGGGAGGGGAGGAGGAGGGCAGAGATGGTTTGCATCTCCAGCTGCCATTACCTCCTGGTACCAGTGCTCTAAATCTAGTGCAGGCATCTGAGGCCTGCCCCAGTCCGACTGACGCTTAACACACGCAGCACATCCATAAGCACAGAGAGAGAGAGAGAGAGAGAGGTGGAATGGTGGGATGCCAGAGAGAGAAAGAGAAGAGTGTTAATGAGCAACTGAAAGATTCGTTCAATGACTGAATGACACAGGTCGTTGGCGATACCCAGCCCTAACCGGGAATAAAACGAGAGGCAAAATCAATAAACTCCTTCCAAAACTTCAGAGGAAGTGTGATTTGTCTTTGGAAGCCTCCAAACATCAGATCCCAACAAGCCAAGCGCTTTCAATAAGGCAACACAAATTTAGATGTTTTGTACTGACATGTTCTCAGAGCACATTTTAGTCAATATTGGCAGTTTTAGATGCTCCAGGCTGCATGCATCGACAGTTAGTTCAGTTACCTCCTGAGGCACCATGGGATATGAGTGGAATGAGGAAGCATGAAAAGGGGAGGAGTAGTAAAAACTGAATTGTTGATATCAAGAATTAATATCCCGTGAAGGAATAAAAGTAAAAACGGCTTGCCATAGGAGTAGGGATGATCATCGTCTAACAGATCAGCCTCGCTGATCAGTGAAGCACATCCTGGGCGGAGGTTTATAAGTCAAACAATATCCTGAGTCTAAAAGATTTCATTTCCTGTTTCACTAACCAAATTATTATGGGACGGCACATGGGACGCATATGCTACCACCTGGCTAAAAAGCTGAATACTGACATGTTCTCAGAGCACATTTTAGTCAATATTGGCAGTTTTAGATGCTCCAGGCTGCATGCATCGACAGTTAGTTCAGTTACCTCCTGAGGCACCATGGGATATGAGTGGAATGAGGAAGCATGAAAAGGGGAGGAGTAGTAAAAACTGAACTGTTGATATCAAGAATTAATATCCCGTGAAGGAATAAAAGTCAAAACGGCTTGCCATAGGAGTAGGGATGATCATCGTCTAACAGATCAGCCTCGCTGATCAGTGAAGCACATCCTGGGCGGAGGTTTATAAGTCAAACAATATCCTGAGTCTAAAATATTTCATTTCCTGTTTCACTAACCAAATTATTATGGGACGGCACATGGGACGCATATGCTACAACCTGGCTAAAAAGCTGAACCTTATAGCTCTCCTAGCCCAAGAAAACCAAACTACAAAGATGAATTGCAAAATGTTTTGCTAAGAAACCACACCAACCATTTGAAGGTCACATGAGAGCATACTGTATTTTGAAAAAACTAAACATTTTAAAGATATGTTAACCAACAAATACATTCTAATTTCAAGTAGGGGAACAAATATTCAGCAGTTATATCTTTATAACCTAACATGCTCAAAGCATATGATTACAGTTCTGCTTACCTCCTTTATAGTGTTGGAGCTTTTGGGGAACGTCTTTCCACCAGTTAAGCTCTGGTATCTTCTCTCCAGATTGGCCAGCCTTTCCTTTTCCTGAAACACAGATTCCAAGTCAATCAGTTAAAGAGTATCACGGTTTCCACAAAAATATTAAGCTACACAACTGTGTTCAACATTGATAATAACAATAAATGTCTTGAGCACCAAATCATATTAAAATGATTTCTGATGGATCATATGACACAAAAGACTGGAGTATTTGATGCTGACAACTTAAAACAGTTTTTAAAATTATAATAATATTTCACAATACAACTGTTTTTACTGTATTTATGATCAAATATGTGACCGTGGACCACAAACCAGTCATAAGTAGCACGGGTAAAGTAGCAATAGCCAACAATACATTGTATGGGTCAAAATTATCGATTTTTCTTTTATGCCAAAAATCATTAGGATATTAAATAAAGATGTTCCATGTTCCATGAAGATATTTTGTAAATTTCCTACCATAAATATATTAAAACTTAATTTTTGATTAGTAATATGCTTTGCTAAGGACTTCATTTGGACAACTTTAAAGGCGAGTTTCTCAATATATATATATATATTTTTTTTTTGCTCCCTCAGATTCCAGATATTCAAATAGTTTTATCGCAGCCAAATATTGTCCTATCGAAACAAACCATACATTTTTATGCCAAAAATCATTAGGATATTAAATAAAGATGTTCCATGTTCCATGAAGATATTTTGTAAATTTCCTACCATAAATATATTAAAACTTAATTTTTGATTAGTAATATGCTTTGCTAAGGACTTCATTTGGACAACTTTAAAGGCGATTTTCTCAATATATATATATATTTTTTTTTGCTCCCTCAGATTCCAGATTTTCAAATAGTTTTATCGCAGCCAAATATTGTCCTATCGAAACAAACCATACATCAATGGAAAGCATATTTATTCAGCTTTCAGTTGATGTATACATTTCAAATGACTGTGGTTCAGGGTCACATATGTATGTAGCCTTGGTGAGCATAAGACACTTTTCTAACCAAAATAAAATATCTAACTGACGCCAAATATTTTGAATAGGAATGTATTTTTTCTTTGTAAACAAAGCAATACATATAGTGTCAGGAACAAAACAAGCATGATCTCAGTTGAAAAATTAATAAAACCAGAAAAATGTTTGCACAGTGGCTCAGTGTAATGGAACTATCCAAACAAACCAATTCATTCAAATGAGTACTTTTAGTTATTTTCTCAATGCACAGATTTTAATTCAATCATTTAATGCCTATTAATTATGTGCCCTCTAGAAGCTTGCATTCTGCAAGTGAACGGCATATTATTGTGCCATCTAAAAGAGGCACAAAATCACTTTCACAGACTTTTTCATTAACTGTTCCCTCCTGGTGGAATGACCTGCCCAAATCAATCCGAGCAGCTGAGTCCTTAACCATCTTTAAGAAACGACTAAAAACACATCTGTTCCACCTTTATTTGACCTCTAACTCTAACACTTTCTATTCTATTTTAATTCTACTTATCTATATTTATCTTTATTTAAAAAGAAACAACAAAAAACAAAAACTAGCTTTCTATTTTTTCTATTCTGTTGTTTTTCTTTGTTTGTGTGTGTGTGTGTATAATATATACAGTGGGGCAAAAAAGTATTTAGTCAGCCACCAATTGTGCAAGTTCTCCCACTTAAAAAGATGAGAGAGGCCTGTAATTTTCATCATAGGTATACCTCAACTATGAGAGACAAAATGAGAAAAAAAATCCAGAAAATCACATTGTAGGATTTTTAAAGAATTAATTGGTAAATTCCTCGGTAAAATAAGTATTTGGTCACCTACAAACAAGCAAGATTTCTGGCTCTCACAGACCTGTAACTTCTTATTTAAGAGGCTCCTCTGTCCTCCACACGTTACCTGTATTAATGGTATCTGTTTGAACTCGTTATCAGTATAAAAGACACCAGTCCACAACCTCAAACAGTCACACTCCAAACTCCACCATGGCCAAGACCAAAGAGCTGTCAAAGGACACCAGAAACAAAATTGTAGACCTCCACCAGGCTGGGAAGACTGAATCTGCAATAGGTAAGCAGCTTGGTGTGAAGAAATCAACTGTGGGAGCAATTATTAGAAAATGGAAGACATACAAGACCACTGATAATCTCCCTCGATCTGGGACTCCACGCAAGATCTCACCCCGTGGGGTCAAAATGATCACAAGAACTGTGAGCAAAAATCCCAGAACCACACGGAGGGACCTAGTGAATGACCTGCAGAGAGCTGGGACCAAAGTAACAAAGGCTACCATCAGTAACACACTGCACCGCCAGGGACTCAAATCCTGCAGTGCCAGACGTGTCCCCCTGCTTAAGCCAGTACATGTCCAGGCCCGTCTGAAGTTTGCTAGAGAGCATTTGGATGATCCAGAAGAGGATTGGGAGAATGTCATATGGTCAGATGAAACCTCAAAGAGGCACAAAATCACTTTCACTGACTTTTTCATTAACTGTTCCCTCCTGGTGGAATGACCTGCCCAAATCAATCCGAGCAGCTGAGTCCTTAACCATCTTTAAGAAACGACTAAAAACACATCTGTTCCACCTTTATTTGACCTCTAACTCTAACACTTTCTATTCTATTTTAATTCTACTTATCTATATTTATCTTTATTTAAAAAGAAACAACAAAAAACAAAAACTAGCTTTCTACTTTTTCTATTCTGTTGTTTTTCTTTGTTTGTGTGTGTGTGTGTATAATATATACAGTGGGGCAAAAAAGTATTTAGTCAGCCACCAATTGTGCAAGTTCTCCCACTTAAAAAGATGACAGAGGCCTGTAATGAGACTTGTCATTTGCACTTATATATTGTTGCTCTTTTGTTAGTTTTGATTGCTTGTATTGTCCTCATTTGTAAGTCGCTTTGGATAAAAGCGTCTGCTAAATGACTAAATGTAAAGCTAAACTTTTGAAAAGTTTTTCTTTCCTTCTTTTTTTTTTTGACCAAGCAACAAAGTAGACAATTGATGGAAGTGGTTTTGGAGAAATTTGGAGAAAGTCCTCAACCTAAAGTGTTCTTAAAATGAGCAAAAACATAAAAAGTGAATATAGTAAGTCATTTTCATTTCCTGTACCTTCTGTAGCAGCTGCAATGTCATACTTCTGTCTTTGGCCAGCCTCTCACACTCCTGAGCAGCCTGTATTCCCAGCTGATTGGCTTGGCTTTCCAATGCTGCAACATTTTCCTGGAAACAACAGCTTGTAAATGAGTTTGAGACATTCGAAATGGTTCCATGCTTTGTTATGTGTGTGTTTCATTTACTTTTCTTTTGGTGACGCTGCTGTGGTACTGAGTTCTGTCCTGCAGCAGCTGCTGGCTAATGGTCTCGCGCTCCTCCTCCAGACTGCTCTCCTTCTCTAACTGCTGGAACTCCAGGTCCTCAAACTGCTTAGTCGCAGCCTCAAGAGTCTCAGCTTCCTACACACACATACATAAAAGCAGGGGGTCAATAACTAGTCAAAGAAACCCATAAACAACAGCACAATGCATGCTCCACAGCAGCCAAGCTGAGTCAGCTTAAAAAGCCACAGGGAGAAACCAGGAGGAACATTATGCAACACAGGTTGCCAACCGTATCCAAATAATAATAATTAAAAATTAAAAAAAATTACATTTTTAAATACTTTAAAAAATATTTAAACTAAAATATATATGTATTTAAAATTAAATTACCATTTAAAATAACATTTATTAACTATTTATTATAATGATTAATTATTTTCAATTATTGGTAACAGATAAAGAAACACAGGTATGGGTAACATTAACAGGTTAATGTATTTAATATTACAGAAACCTTTACTATTAATACTATTTGTTATTATGATTAACTCTTTATATAATTCACATATAAATATACATATAATTTTTTTTTATTGCTAACTCTATAACAGGTACAAAAATGTTAATGTGTAACATCAACTAAAAAAACATCAGCCAGATACGAAATCAGCTAACACTTTAACCATATTTAGAAATACATTTTAAAATGTATAGAATATTTCTACATATTCTTAATATATTTTTATGGTTTATATGTCATTTCAAGACTTCCTGCAGTATTTCCATCAATCCCCAAAGGGTCTGGTTGCTGGTGATACACACAGATCTGTGTGGATATAATACACTCTTCCAGAATCCCTTACTGAATGATCTATCATAATTCATACAACTTAAACCCAAGTACATCAAACATTATTTAAACAATCAGCTGGGATGGTAAAACCGGGAAAGACTGAAAAAACAGGAATGACATTCAGACTTCAGATCATAAATGAATCTTATGAAAAACATAAAGTCTTGTCATTTCTATATACAGATTGCAAGCACACTGGCTAACACTTGCTGTCAATTCATCAAAGCATTTCTGAAACTGTGAAGCTTGAAGGCTCAGTGCACACATGCCATCACTTCTCTCTTGTGCAACCCTTGGGATATTTCTGCCTGCAAAAAGGGCTAGTCATCAAAAACACTGCCCGATAACTATGCTAATCAAAATAAATATTTTATATTTTAAACAGAGACTTCCTAGTATGCTTTGTATTTTTGTGTCTTTTTACACAAAATACATTGAAATAGCATCTTTTGGCCAAAGTATCATAATCTGTGTGGTATATAGAGAGAAGTGCATGATTTTCCCCCAAACAAGTTACATGCAAACCATTTAGCGATTGTAAAGATTTCATTGGACATGTCAATCATAGCTGATTGCCTATTTAATGTTTAAACAAACACTAACCTTAACCTTATTATAAAATCACTTCCAGATAAAAAGCAAGTTTGTTGATTTTTCTAAACTCTTATCGACTTGCATGATTGATTTGACCAATGAAATCGACTGTGGGTGGGTTTTGCACTTAGCTGGTTTGAAGGAAATAATCATGTGAGAGAAGTGAGAGGTATCAAAATAAAACTAGCACTACGTTAGTTTCTGCATTAATAGATTAGTACATTGTTAAGTGTTATTAATATTTTGGCACCAGACAGTAGCATGTAAGAAACCTCAAAAATACACCCAAAAATGTCGAAAACATGCAAAATCTTACCAATTAACACCACTTTACCTCCCATAAGATATTTAGACACTTTCAGACAAGAATAAAAACATGGTGTTCCCAGCAGAAATCATTCTTAATAATAATAAACATTGAATAATGTTTCTACTAGGATCATCGTGGTGGATTTGGTGTATAGACAACCCAAAGGAGCTTAGTTGGGAATGTGTATCTGGAAGGTGGGGTTTATAAAGCCAGAACTGTGGGGTGGAAGCAGTCGGTAAAGTGCTGATGTTCCTGATGGTCACTGACCCTCTTGAGTTGTTCCTGTAACTGCTCCCTCAGAGACTCAGGGCAGTTATGGAGCTGGCTCGTCAACTCATTGTACCCATCCTGAAGCCTCTCCAGGGCTTCCCGCTCCGCGTCAACATTAGCCCTCTCCTAGAAAGAAAACACACCATCCGGGGAAGGGGAGAGAAAGAGAACACACAGCTCAAATCCACGCCATGCAGAAGCATCCGAGGTTAGAGGTCACAAGAGAGTGGGTGGAGCCAGAAAGGATGAACTCTAAGCCTTATAAAACACTGCATGGCACTGGACTGTAGGCTGTCAACAGGGCCAAACAGACTTCTGTTCTCAGGCATTTCTTGGTCAAAGACTTCAGATGTAATGATTTTCCAATGGTATGTGCTTTTTAGATGAGATTATGCTATATCAGATGACAGGAATTCATTTGTTTGGGATCATCGGCTAGTTTGAAGCTGGCCTTTTTCTTTCTTTTATCATAAAAAGGAAGATTTGCAATAGCATCTTATTTAATGCATCAGATATATATATTTTTTTAAAGTTAGTCCTCTGATATTTCTAAGGCTAGATGTTGAGCTAGTATACTGCACATGGCATTCATGCATTGTGTTCTTTCCAGACCAACATTCATAGCACGTCAAAACATCAATAAATCAAAGCACAGAAAGAACCAGATTCTGAACTTTAAAAAGCCATTTTCAAGGCTTATAGGGGAATTTTCTCTGTTTGCACAAACACTGCACAGATTGTTTGCAGTCAAGATCAATCTAGTACAAATTACAGCTGGTCTGGTAACATGACCGCAGTGGTAGCCAAACCCCCGTAAGGGAAATGGGTTCAAAGCAGACAAAATTATCAATAAAGATCTGAATGAACAAACAAGTTATGAAAAACCAATCCAAAGTATTGCACAGTATCTTTGAATAAAATATATATATTTTCATATAATTAATTAATCAAAGTTTTTTTTTTTCTCTGTGGAACACAAAATTTGAATTTTTTGTTGCTCTTTTCTAAACAATTACAATGAATGTGGACTTTAAGCGCTTTTAGGTGCACAGGTACCATACAAGTATTATAAAAAATGTACTTGATATAAAAATCTATTAAGTTTTATCAGCTATAATGCTTATTGAAAACAGCAAGGATCTATTCCAGGTGAGTCAACTTTATTTTGTAAAGTGCATTTTTTTTTATAATACATTGTTTCAAACCAACTTTATAGAAAATCATGATGTTGATATATCTAATATCTTAATGTCGTCATGCCATATAGTTGCATTTAGAAGATTAGAGCCGAGTTATAATATACAGTAGTTTACATTTTGCGATGATACAAGTAATCAACCAGTTGAGATTTGCTATTGATAGTTCCAAACCTGTATAAGTTTCTTTTTTATGTTGAACACAAAATAATTTTGAAGAACCAAAAAGTTGTTGGTCCCCATTGATTTCTGTAGTAGTGAAAGAAATACTATGTCACTCCACTAGTCAGTGGAGACCATCAACTGTTTGATTATCAGCATTCTTCAAAATATCTTCTTTTATGTACAACATAAGAATGTACAACATTTTTGGGTGAACTATCCCTTTAACAACTTAAAATAAGCACTTAAATGTCCTACCACATTAGTTGTACTGACCACTTTTATGATACTTTTATGTTGCTTTTGCATCCTTTTTGAAGCTTGAAGGCTTCAGTTCCCATTCACTGTATGGGAAAGAACGCCAAGCACAGTGTTCATAATTTCCCCTTTTGCATTCCAGAGACTGAAAGTCAGTCTTATGAAAGTCATAATTTTCATTTTTTGGTGAACTATTCCTTTAAGGATCTCTCCAAGTGCATAACACTTGGCGGAATCGAAAAAGGAGACTAAAACACCCAGAGAAACCCAGAATCTGAAATAAAAGCTGGAATTCTGAAACAGCGTGCAGGAAAAATCTTTCTAAAAAGACACCCACTGTAAGTCACCAAGTCTCGCACCACTGGAGCTATTGTCCCTCAAAGCCAGCGTGCTAATCCCAAAGCCTGAGTTTGCGCTAAGCAAAACAGTTTTGAAGCAAAGGGGGCGAGCAGAAGAAACGGAGAGACTGTGAGTGCGGAAAAAAGCAGTGAGGAGATTAGAGGTTAATGAAGGTTTGTTAGTGTTGCCAAGCTTTGTAGAGGACCTGATGAGAACCACCACAAAAGGAGAGGAAAAAGACAACACCTCTTGTGAATGAATGCTTGATTACTAGACAGAACCTTGGCTTTCTGCCCAAACAAAACTAGTGAACTGCATTTAAATGTGACTATCGTCTTCAGATCCTCTATTGTGGAATGTAGAATGACCAGATGTAATGGGAAGCGCTTTGGCTAGTTTGAATGAGCACTTTTGCTCTTTCGTTTTTTTTACCTGGGGATGGCAATCGAGACCAGAATGGGCCTTGAGTGGCCATCCGACAGAATGGCACGCCTTTAAGGAATGTCAGAGACCAGAAAAGGCTGTTCAGTCCAGAGAGGCTCAACAGTTTAAAACACAAAACAGTCGTTTGGGGATTTGAAACTCTTAACAATTAAGGTGCAGTCATGTTTGAAGAACAGCTTACAATAGCAGTTTCCATTACCCTTCAAACTGCATAAATTGAAATTTCGAATTGAAAATGCACCTAATGGAAACACATACATTTCGCGAAAACTCCCATATATCGCAAAAAATGTTTACGCTTGCATGAGGTGTTTTTTCAGGCAATTCGAAAAAAGGAATATATCACAAAACTGCAAAGGAAACCGTTTTTTTTTTTCATATTTACAGGTCACCTGGCATACATAAAAGTAGATAACCTTGGATAACCCCGTTTACACTACATACTGCATACACCGCATTACGGCTGTGACATGGCCACCAATGCTTGTGTTTACACCCGCTGCGCCGCGGCACGTTTCAGAAGCATCCCAGAAGCAACTCTCAGCGCTGCTTCACTAAAGATAAACGCATACGTCTACTTTGATTAAAATTAATGGCTAGTGCAGTGGATGCAATATACGTAAATCTACCAACATCCGTTACCATGATTTATCACGAGAGGAAAAAATTAAGCTTTAGCCGCATAACATCGGTTAATGGAAACGTCATCAATTCGCAATAGGTTTTTTATCGACATTTATAAAATATCCCAAAAGTTTTGAGCAAATCTGTAATGAAAACCCGGCTAATGAAGTCACTTTTAAACCAAGCACGACCAACTGAACCAGTTGCAAAATCTGCGTGGGGAAATCTTATACCCTCATGCGAAATTCGAAATGATGGATTTCGACAATGAAAATTCACCAAGCAATGCTAAATATGACCACACCTTTATAGAAACATTTTTACTTCTACATGAAAAATGAATGCATTAATGTGTTCTGAATATGGACAATTTCATTCTGTGAACTTTTATGTGGTGTGTGTATCCTACCTTGTCTTTCTCTCTCTGGATGGTGCTCTCCAGTTCGCTGAGTTTGCGCTGCAGCTGGTTGATAATCTCTGTGTCGGCCTCGATTTGCTCCAGCTCGGCCTGTCTCTCTCCCTGCAGCAGAGCTCTTTCCATCTCCGCCTGTCCAGATCAACACATAAGATAGAGCAATTCTCACACAGGCCACATAAACACACCCGAGAGATCCATCTGACATTCTCTGTTCCACTACGCATCACTTCCCTCTGCTTCCGACTCTTATCCACTATAATTAGGAAAGGACTTCCTGTATATCCTTCAGTGTATTTAACTATATAAAAATGTTTATAAGAGCGGCTCACCTCCTGTTTGGACTCCTGAAGTTGCTGCTCCAGTTCTGTGATTCGAGCTTTGAGCTCATCTACCTTTGCCAGCACTCGAACCCGCTCCTCCTCCAGGTATCCCAGTTCCAGACGGCCAATGCTGCCCGATCCCAGACAGTCCTCTGCCTGAATACAATTCACACACAGTTTATATGATGTACTGTTTATATACACTACTGCTCAAATATTTGTGGCCAGTAAGTACTTTTATAATGCTTTTGAAGTCTCTCATGCTCACCAAGGCTGTTTATTTGATGAAAATACAGTAAAAACAGTAATATTATGAAACATTATTACAATTTAAAATAATGGTTTTCTATTATAATATATTTTGAAAAGCAATTTATTCCTGTGATGGCAAAACTGAATTTTTAGTGTAACATGATCCTTCAGAAATCATTCTGATATGCTGCGTATGCAACGTTTCTTATTATTATCAATGTTAAAAACAGTTGTGCGACTTAATTTTCATGGAAACCATAATACATTTTCACGATTCCTTGATAAACAGAAAGTCAAAAGAACAGCATTTATTTGAAATAGGAATCTTTTTTAACATTATGAATTTCTTTACAGTAACTTGTTTATATGATGTACTGTTTATATACACTACTGCTCAAATATTTGTGGCCAGTAAGTACTTTTATAATGCTTTTGAAGTCTCTCATGCTCACCAAGGCTGTTTATTTGATGAAAATACAGTAAAAACAGTAATATTATGAAACATTATTACAATTTAAAATAATGGTTTTCTATTATAATATATTTTGAAAAGCAATTTATTCCTGTGATGGCAAAACTGAATTTTTAGTGTAACATGATCCTTCAGAAATCATTCTGATATGCTGCGCATGCAACGTTTCTTATTATTATCAATGTTAAAAACAGTTGTGCGACTTAATTTTCATGGAAACCATGAAATAGCATTTATTTGAAATAGGAATCTTTTTTAACATTATGAATTTCTTTACAGTAACTTTTGAATAAAAATATGAATAAAAGTATTCATTTCCAATTTCCAAACTTTTAAGCTATAGTGTAACACTACAAATAAATCATACGAAAAGCACATTAATATTGTATAAATGATTAAAAAGGTAGATACTAACATTGCTAATGGTGAAAACATATATAAAGTGTTCCGATTTAAAGAAGAAAAGGGAGTTCGACCTGTCCATTTTGTCCATTTAACAGAGCTGTTGGGGTCCGTCCGTCCTGCTGCGCACTCTCAGTGCTACTCCTGTCCCCCTTCAGGTTCTCCTCTTGGCTTTCACGATGTCTCTGCGCCACCCTTAGGGAAGCGCTGTTCACACTGTCCAAGGAAGGACGTCTGACGTTAAGCCCGTCCCTCGAGCCAAGCCCAGAGACGCCCATCCTACCCAGATCTCCCGCCGGCCCGTCGCCCTTGTTGTACTCGGCACAGAGGTTCAAGATTGTTTCCAGACGCTGCCGTTCCTAAAACACAACAGAGATGAGCTATTAGATGAGTCAGGGGTGGCAAAAATTGCCCTCACGTTATCTAATTTCCTCTGCGCCAGCCTCTGGCACTCAGCATCCTACTGATGCCAATCTGAAGAGAGAGGAGAGGAAATAAACAGAAGCACCACTGTCTGGAGAGACTCTTATCAGGACCCTGTCCTCAAGCGAGAGGACGCAGCCCTGCTTTAAGCATATACAAACTCCCAGCGCTTGTCAGAACAAGCCCTCTCTTACGGCAGACACTGAAACAACTACGCAACTACACAGAACTCATGTACTGTCAGCCTGGGGGGTCTGAATGTGATAACAGCTGCCATCTTAAGCCAGTCGGGCCCACCTCACAGACACATTCTCAGTGTGACCTTTGGCCATTTCATGCCATTTGCCCAGACCGAGGCACCGACTCTGCTGAGTAACACAGTCTGTATGGTACACAAATGGAAAGAATAAACTTTTCATGTTTTTACGTCATGTTAATATCTAGACAAGCTTGTCAGATTGGCTGTAAAATTTTCTGAGGTTACAATGCATTTAATAATGCTGTTTGGGTCATCTGAATGCACTATATATTAATGCAATTTATTAATACAATTACGTTTTTTTGTTAAATTATGCAGCTTTATTACTGGGAAACCAATGAGCACTTTGGAATTTGCATATAGTTGTAAAGGGCACCATGTGTTATAGTACACATGTGCCCATTAACTCTATATAGGAAACTTAATATATATTTTCCATTTGAGATCATGTAAGGGTTGTCATTATTGTTTTAATTTTATATGGTACTATTCAAAATGTGGCCTTTTTGAAAGAAATTAATTCTTTATTCAGCAAGGATGCATTAAATTGATCAAATATGATAATAAAGACATTTATAATGTCAAAAAGATTTCTATTTCAAATAAATGTTGTTTTTTAAACTTTCTATTCATCAAAGAATCCTGAAAATATTAAGCAGCACAACTGCTTTTATAATCACAAGAAGCATTTCTTGAGCACCACATTGGCATATTACAATGATTACATCATGTGACACTGAAGACTGGAGTAATGATGCTGAAAATTCAGCTTTGCCATCACAGGGAAAAAATACATTTTAATTAAAATATATTTGAATAAAAAATACTTATTTTTTTTAATTCTAGTAATATTTCACAATATTATTGTTTTTACAGAATTTTGATTTTTCAAGTATAAAAGAAGTTTTATCCAAAACATTAAGAATTCTTACCAACCCCAGATATCTATCTTTTGAGAGCTGCTCCGTCACAAACCCCCGACTAGAAAAACCTTGCTGTAGGACATACAATAATTACACATGATTAAATCCACACCAGAAAAGGAAGATAAACAAAAAGAGGCACGCTGCTACTCCAGCAGGTTGTGTGTGCTCTCTTTGATGTGCTCTAGAGACTGGATGAGCTCAGTGTGATTTGTGGAGGACTGTGATGAGTATTCTCCAAACCCTTAATTAGCTCAACCTGTAATCATCAGCCTCCTGAATCTCCAGGATCACATTGAAACGAGAAACATGGCTGAGGGGAATCAGTTTAGACTGTTCCCATGGCCCTTTCCCATCAAACTACCAAATTACCTCAGACAGAGAGATGCTTCTATATCAAAAATTAACTAAATCTTTCATCCAAATTACCAAACTAAAATGATTTTGACTTGAATTTAAATTGGTAGCTGAGAGAGTCCATTAAAACTGATCCGTTGACATAAATCACTTAAAAATCCACAGCACAGGAGAACGTTCAATCACTTATAAGAACCGCATCAACATGTCTTCACCTGACAGACCTGTTTCATTGAGAAAGTTACACATCTGAATTACGAAAAGCCCCCATGCTTTCATTCCTCAGGCTCCGTAACAACCCACAGACCCTTCTAATACTGAAGAGGTGATCTCACAGAAAGTTGCTCACCAACTACAATTTGCACCAACAATTGCTGTATACTATAACAGCTCACTGTCTCCGCTTAAGAACCAAGAGCAACATCTTCAATTTTAGAGATTTTTCAGTCAAAAACAGTCAAGACCTTGAACACAGATGTTTTAAGTTCTAAAAGAGACGTTTAGACACAGTTTAAACCAGGACTATACAACAGACCCCAATGTGCACAACACTCATTTATGAGTTTAAAGGGCCCTCTGTAGTTGTCATTAGTAGGTCCCCTCAGGGAAAATAAATAGTTTAAGATCAGGGTGGCACACCCTGAGTTTTAAAAGTGCTCTGAAACACACAGAGGCTGAGGGAACTGTAGGAGGGAGTCTAATCATTTGATCTGCTTCCGTCCAGGCCTGTTGAGCCTCTGATCCTGGAGTTTACAGCCAGGCTTGATGAGTGTTTCCAATCAAAGCCAGTGCTACCTGAACACTTCTAAAGCAATATGTTGCTTCATTGTGCTGTAAAAGGAGCCCTAATAGAACACATGAAGGAATACGTTCACGCTCAAGTCATGTAACAACATATGAAATACCTAGATGAGGAATATATGACAGAATGTATCAGTCTAATACATGTAAAAGTACAATATTAGTAATTAAGCACTAGTTATATATACATTTATATGCACAGTACAACTAACTCAAATAAAAGTATGTATTGAAAACCACACACTCACCCTCATTGTGACGTGTTAAAAGTAGCACACTAGTTAAGAGTCCTGTGGTTCTCTCAGATGTTTCCTCATTGAGTAGCTCTCCAGAATTCACACACATGCTGAGATAGATGAACAAATAAAGCCCCTAGTCCTTCCACCTCCAACTCTCTCACACACAAACACACACACACATACACACACACACACTCTGGTCCATTTTCTCAAAGTGTGTGCCGGTAGGTACATAAATCGATCACATCTGGCTCATTTCTCTGCTGGTGGCTGCTGTTAATGATGATATTATTTAATGTTCTCAAAGGCTTATTGAAATGGATGTCTTGTTTTATCTACCAAGGCTTTGAAACATGAGAGAGGGGAGGCCCAGTTGCAAGTTTAAATACTATTCATTGTAACCATTGTAACCCACTCAGGGGTCAGTGCTTACTAAACAACAACACTGTTTGCGTGGGCGCTGGCCAGATGTTCTCTCAGAAACTGGAGGAATACTATTGACGTGAAAATTACAATTCAGTCAAATGCTACATGCTGAAACCCAGATGGAAAAATATACAGGGTGTCCACTGAACCGGTATGTAGGATAACCGTTAAGCACTTCATACTTTCCAGATGACAGCAATGAACAGACGTAGCTCTCTGTTTACAAATCTCCCCGCTTTGCTAGGAGTTTTTGGTAAACTTGTATCTTGAAGGCACATTTCTCATTCAGGTGCAGTGGTGGACAGTAACAGATTAGCTTTACTTCGTTACTGTACTCAAGTACATTTTTCAAGTATCTGTACTTTACTCGAGTCGTTTTATTTTGAGTAACTTTTACTTTTACTTCACTACATTCCAAAGCATAAGATCGAACTTTTTACTTCACTGCATTTCATAAAACATATCGTTACTCCTTATAATATATCATGTGCTCCGAGACGCAGAAGCGGTGTCTGATTCAAGAACAAACTGATTCTTTTCAATGAACCTTTTAAATCGGTTCGCAAATCGCACCAAATGATTCATTGACGAATTAGAATGAACCGATTGCAGCTGTTCTCGAGTCAACAACTCACTGATTCAAATGAACCGTTTAGTGCGAGTCTCCAGTGAACTGAATTCACAAGTAAGAACCGGGAGATCTTGTGAGCGTGCGTCTGATACTGCTAAAAGTAAGTAACTAATGTCGAATTTTAGGATTAATTATTGTAACTGAAAATCCTATTTTGGTCAAAACTGTCAGTTGTTTGTGAACTAAATCTGCTGTAAAGGGTGATCTATTTAAGCCCACTGAAATGATTGAATGCAGACACATCAACATCTGTGTCTCTATTTTAGGTAAAAAAAAATAAATAAAAAAAAAAAAACCCCAACCATTAAAATAACACAGACTAAATAAAATAATTAATGTGCGCTCATATTCCTCGCTGCCGTAACGTTAACAGTTTTATTAAAATGCTACGCATTTAGCCCTATGTGACGTCTGTTTTTATATAACTGTGATGTTCTGCAAAACAAGCTTTAAAACACTTTTTCTTACTGGTGAAAATCAGATGGTCAAATCTGTTTTCTCTCAGGTACTTCGCAGTGTAAGCTTCACAGTGAACGTTACTACATCACTCTCGTCAACGTAGTCCATATCAACAACAAACATATATCTTGACTCCATATAGTGGTTATTTGGGGAAAATCCCAGGTATTTTGAGCAGTAGGATTATAAAAAATACGTACTAATATAAATGTAAATTAAGTAGCCTATATAAAATTGCTAAATAAATCTATCTATCAGTACTTTTTTACTTAAGTACATAAAAAATCGAGTACTTTTGTACTTTCACTCGAGTAAAATTGAAAAAGGAGTACTTTTACTTTTACTGGAGTAATATTTTATTATACGTATCTGTACTTTTACTCAAGTACTTGATTTTTGTACTTCGTCCACCACTGTTCAGGTGTGTCCATTTCAGGAAAACAGCAAAGGTTACACTTACACTGCTCTGCAAAGTGGCCAATTCTCAGTTTATACTCAAATCTAGTTAAACAACATCACAACCTTCTTAATCTGGCATGAGGTTCAAATTTCAGTAGTATAATTTAACATGTAATTGTTATTAGGGTTGGGCCGATAGACGATGCCATCGTACATCGCCGATGGCTGACAGACATCACGATGTTAAGCTGACTTTCATGTACTGTAATGCAACAGGCTACCGCTAGCAAGCGGCTAACCATTTAGTGGCTCCATATAATGCATTATTTGTTTCATGCTTCGGGCACACCCCTAACCCAGCCCCGCCCCCCGATGTCATCGTCCATCACGAAGTTTCACTGTAGACATCGTCCGATGCCAATTTGGTAGACATCGCCCAACC